GGCGCCCTGAAGGCGCAGGGGGAGCTGCCCGCCGCCCCTCCTCGGGGCTGGAGGTCCCCACAAGCGCGTCGGCCTCGCAGCGGGACGAGCCCCGGAGCCGAGCTGGCTGCCCACACACAGACACCCTCCCCCACCCCAGGAGCAACCTCCTCTGGCAAAATACACGTTTTGAGGCTGACCACGCAGCTTTCTGAGCGTGGTGCCCGCTGAGGGGTGTGCCTGCTTATTCTACAGAGTCAGAGGAAACCAGTTTTACCTCATAAAAAGTGATACGCAGTCCCAATACTTGCCTTGAGTGCAGGGTCACGACACAACCTGTGGTACTGTGGGTGACACTGAGAGGACAGACAAGCAAAGAGAATTTATTCCCTTCCATTTGATGCCATAGCACGTTCTTGGGCTTCTGTGTTACAGCTGAACTCATCTAGAGGCTCCTGGCCTTCAAAACCAGGGATCCTGCTCCCCTGCGCAGAGAGCTTCCACCGCAGGCTGTGCCGCCTTCACCTCTTTCCGGATCACACTCTGGTACTCGCCACACAAGGAGTCGATTCAAGTCACTAATCTGTCGGAAAGCAATTTTTTATTGCTGCATTTGTTTTCTGCCAGATTAGTGACCTGAATTGACTTGCCGTACAGTAAAAGGGAACCAGTGAAGGGGAAGGGCGGGGAGGGAGCAGGAATGTGCAGCTGGGAGTACAGAGGTGCATATAGGTTGGTAAGGGCAGAATCTCCTCTTTAAGTAGCAGTAAGAGTAATATCAGATCGCCACATTACATTACAGCACCTTTATAAATAGCCAAGCAGCAAATTTACCCACTTTCTTCTCATCACTATCCTGCTGCGTGATGGTCCTGGAGATACAGTGGGCTGGTCCTGGGACCAAGATTTGCACTGCAGGGAGTTTATTCTGCCTCCACAGTGTGCTAGTTTTTAAAGCTGTTTCTGCTATCATCCAGGGTTTTGCAGTGTTGTATTGTTTTTGTGAGCTTACTCCCAGTGTGTACATCAATCCTGCATTGATTCAAGGCTGGTTTTAAGCCATCCCGTATGGCAGTTACAGATAGAAGAAAACACTATAGCACACATTACATTTATTACTCCGAAACTTTAGGAGGGATGTAAACAGTGCGTCAGTTTTATGCAAGCCTGTGCTGGCTGAAGTTTAACTATTTACATGCTACTTTAAGAACTCTTACTTTGCACTTTAGTAAGAAAGCATACCAGTAACTTAGGCCATGCTTTTATCACTCTTTTTAGTCATGAAAGAAATTAAATGATAATTTCCTTATTCTTTTTACTGGCTTTTGCCTTCTAATAACCCATGCCTATAATGAAGGTTCAAAGAAAAAAATGGCTTTTCACATTCACTTTAAAAAGTCAGAAACATCAGTTCCAACTTAAATATAAAGCCACTGAAATACAGCCCTTCTGGCGCACTCAGCAGCTCGAGCAGTAGTCACTCTCAGTACAAAATAATACTTTAAAATGTTACATATTTTAATAATTATGTCAGGACACGTTCACTAGTAGACTAGAGGAGCCTTAGGAGGCACAAGTCTGAGCCAAAAGGGAAAGCCCTCTTATGCTCCCAGTCTGTCCCAGCACTGAGTAGTTATTGTATCACCCAAGGACAGATCACTTGTGAAACTGATCACAAGTTATTTAGTTATTGCAAGGAATTTTACCATTTACGTTAAATAAAACTTTTATGACATCTGTTGTGCTGTGAGACTGATGAAAGCTTTGAAACTTGGAGAAAACAGAAGTACGTTGAAAGCATTTTTAGTGCATAATTTTTGCAGTTTTAATTGAGCTCCAGGAGAATAAAAAGAAAGGAAGAAAGAGGATTCAGGAAAAGGGGGTGCAAAAGATTTGGAGAAAAAGGAAAGAATGATGGAAGCAAAAACCGAAGGAAAGCATTACTTGGTAGATAGTTTACCAGGAGACTTGCAAAAGGAGACCGTCAAAAAGGAAGAGGCATTCATCTCCTATTCCACTGCAGTGGGATGCTAAATTCCTCGAGGTCAGCTGAGAACCCAGCCTGAACTTTGCTGAATCTATAAATTCTGCAGGTCAGCGATCCTTGCTTCTCTGTATTTTTATGTATTAATTAATTATGCCTCTGTTACACTTTTTAAACATTTTAATCATTAATCTAATACACAAAACACTGCAGTATTGCAGCTTGCTTTTGCTCATCTAAGATTCACCAGCCCTGTTGGGAGGTAACCCCACCTCTGATATACACACAGAGCGCAACTCATAGTTAGGAATTTATGTAATTTAAACTTCCTCCCACCAGCACATGCAAATGACTGCAAGTACCAACAAGAGCTGCATTCTTGTAGCTGCCATCCTATCCCTGAAGGCTCTTGCACATCCCTTAGGAGATTCAGCAAAATGTCTTGTTGGGGAGCTGACTTACCACGTAGTTTTCTGCCTTGTGAGACTGCACAGTGAACAGACCCTTTACCTATTTCTTTCAATTTACCAAACACAACAGATTAAAAAAAAACTTAAGGACAGGTCTAAGAGAAACTAGGTAAACTAGGTGGTGGTAAAGAGAGGTGGTGAAAATTTTAAGGCATCAGAGTTTTTATCCCTGCTTCCGTCACTGACTTGTGTGACTACACAGAAGGCAGTTAATCAGCTTTATTTTTTCTATTCTCTAAAATAGTACGAACTACTGATAATACATATGTTTAGGGATGAAATATTTGAGGTTTTCATGTAATGTGTATGAAATATACTTCACAATATATGACTCTTTTAGGCCTCATTTCCCAATGCCTTGCATCTTGTGCCAGATGTTTATACCAGTGTCTCGTGAATGCAAACTGCATATAAAATACCAAGTTTCTGTGGGTTTTATGACTTATGTTCACTATCAACCAAGCAGGAGTCATAGAGCAATATAAAATCAGGCTACAGATTGCATCAACAGGACAGTTAACTTATTGCCCTGCCCTGGCTATATTAAAACCTCCCCAGACAAGTTGTTGAGATGTTTGCCACCCTTACCGTTAGAAATAGTTTTTTGTTAACTGATAACAGCCATCTTGCTCGTTGCAAATAAAGCACTTTTTATCTTCATATCCACCGAGGACTTGGGAGATCCAGGTTGTTTCCTTTCTCTTTGCCCGAGACTTCTGTGGGTTTTGACTGCCGCTGTTGTTTCCCTCCTCTTTAAAACATTGCCTTGTGCTTTCTTCCTTTCTGATGGCTCTTTCTGCTCTCCCCCGGAGCCCGCTGCCTGCTTTTGCTTTCAAGAAACCTTTCTTGACGTGTGGTGCTCAGAACTCTCAGCCCAGCACCACTCCGGCCAGATAGCCCTTGCCATTTGCAGGCAGAGCAGAGGGACGGCTGCGGGTGTCTTACGGGCGGGAAGGCAGTAGGTCGGTTTGAGAAGCCATTTCATAAATAGTAGTAATTATTAGCATTGGCTATATGGGTAATTCTCTTATTATGCAAAGTGCTTTCAAAGGCAGTAATCATCTATTAACGGTAACGGGCGTTTGCAGGAGCAGGCGGGTCTCCGCGCGTTATTCTGCAGCGCCTGGCTCGGCATCTCGCAGCGGTCGCAGGAGGGCACAAAATTCAGCCGTTTCTCTCGCTAAACTTTTGCCCCTCTTCCAAAGGAAAAAAAAAAAAAAAAAAGAGGTCGTTCCCGAGGCGACACCCGCCCTCAGCGGGGAGCTGGCAGGGCGGCCTGGCCCAGAGACAAAGCCGGCGTTATGGGTGCCCGCCGGCGGGGAGCGAGGTGCCGGCCCGGCGCACACCGCCCGGGGCTCACCGCCCGGCCCGGCCCGGCCCGGCCCCCTCCCGCC